GAGGCTGGACATGGGCCCAAGCCTGGCTCCTCTGAGCCAAACAGGATGCTGTCTGTCTTCCACGGATAGTTGGAGTCCTGGGAGGGAGTCAGCTGAAGGTTGCTGAAGAAGGATCATTTGGCCTCTTCTTTTTCTTTTCCTTTTTCCTGACACAGGGTCTCACGTATCCCAGGCTGTCCTCCAACTGACTTTGTGGCCAAAATGACCTTGGATTTTGGATCCTCCTGCCCGCATTCCCCAAGCGCTGAGGTTACAGGCACGGAGCACCACGGCAGGTTTAGTGGCACGAAGGGCCAGACCTAGGGCTTCATGTGTGCTAGGCCAACACTCTCTCAATAGAGCTACAGCCCCGGCCTCCATTCAACACAAGAATTAATTAATGGTTAGTGTCTCTTCCCTCACATGTCTGTGCATGATGTTAGATGAGGTGGCTCTCTTGAAACATTTGACAATTTTCAAAGTATATGAGGCTTCCTGAAACCAAACAGTTGGAGATCTACTACCTCCTAGTCCATACCATGCCCAGCCCCGCCCTCCCTTCCACCACCACCCCTCCTGTTACTAAGGTAGTTTCCTAAAAGGGTTTTCTTCTGCTTGTCTTGTTACTGGGTACTTTGGGCAGTCACCTTGGTGGCTGCTAAGCGATACTAGAGAAATCAGGATCTCAGTCTCATTAGTCAAAGAATTCTAAGATGGACTCAAACGGAAGCTTGAGAGTAATTTTATTAGAGTTTAGAAGAAAAAAAAATCCCAGAGCAGACAAGATGCAAATCTCAACAGCTTCTGGAAGGAAGATAATGGAGAAGAGAAGGCGGAAGGGAGCCATGGATTTGAGGGAGGTTGGCGAGGACACCGGTTCCACTGCAACAGGCAGCCACGTGGTGAGGAGGGGTATAAGAAAGAGCAAGGAAGCCCAGAGTGGAAGGCTTCTTCCAGATGGAGAGGGTTGGAAAACTGTCCTCCTGGGGGTGGTCCTGCCCTCCTGGGGGTGATCCTGCCCTCCTGGGGGTGGTCCTGCCCTCCTGGGGGTGGTCCTGCTTTCCTAGGGGTGATCTTGCTTTCTTGGGGTGGTCCTGCCCTCCTGGGGGTGATCCTGCTTTCCTGGGGTGGCCCTATCCTCCAGGGGTGTCCCTGTCCTCCTGGGAGTGATCCTGTCCTCCTGGGAGTGATCCTGTCCTCCTGGGGGTGGTCCTGTCCTCCTGGGGGTGGTCCTGCCCTCCTGAGGGTGGTCCTGCACTCCTGGGGGTGGTCCCGCCCTCCTAGGGGTGATCATTGTTCTCCACCCAGGCTAGAGATTTCATCCCCCATCCCTTCTTCTGCACAATCCATCCCAAGCAGGCACAGGAAGCGGCCTCTGACTCTCAGTGGAGTTTATCTTGACCTTGTTTGTCCAAAGCCCCACTTATCACAGCAGTTATCTGCAAGTACAGTGACTGCTTGTTCATTCAGTGTCCCCACAGGACAATGAGTTCTTTCAGGACTAGGGTGGCATCTTTTTGCCTTTGTCTTGGTGGAGGCCAGCATCGTATATGACCACAGTGCTGGGAGCTTCAGTGCACTGAGAAGGGTTTCCTGAGATACTAATCAATTAACTACTCTTAAGAAAATTTGCTTCTGGTGCGGACCTTATGTTTGGAGGCATTTGCGTCTGCCTGGCTGGACCCTAAGAAAGGATCTTATTTACCCTTTTACCACCCTTTACCACTCTCAGCAGACGGTGATTTAAATCTTCCTTCTGCTTTCTGGAGTCCCTTTCCCTTCCTTTACTTGGAGCTGTGATTCTGGAGTCAAAGCCCTGTTGCTTTATTCCCAGCTCCGGGATTAATTTTGCCAGTTGCCCGCTAAGAGAAGCCAACATCGACTGTATATGCTTTGTGCTTCATATGTTTGTTTTTAAGACAGGGTCTCTCTCTTCATAGCTCTGGCTATCCTGGAACTCACTATGTAGACTAGGCGGGCCTCCAACTTACAGAGACTCACCTGCCATTCCATGTAACACCAACCCCGGCAGATGCTATGTGTTTTCGCATCCCTTCTTTCATTTTGGATAAAGATAACAGACAATAAAAGCTTAGCTGCGTTTTGAGGAGCCGTGCCTGGCATTTAAATATGACCTTGTGCCTTGTGCTGTGTTTGACACAGGCTCCAGTCTGTGCATGTACTAAGAGGTCTTCAGAAGTGTGATAATTAATATTGATTGTCAGGATTTAGACTCAGCTAGGCTAGAAACGCCCAGGAGAGTTTGTGACAGTGTTTCCAGAGAGGTGTAATTACTACCTGGAATGTGGGTGGCACCATGCCCTGAGCTAGGGTCCAGGGCTGAGTGGAAAATGCTGAGTGGCATTCATCTCTCCCTGCTCCCCAGCTGTGGATGCAGTGTGACCAGCTGTATGCTCCTGCCTTGCTATTTTCTCTACCACGACAGACAGACTGTTAAACCATAAGCCCAAAGAAATGTTCTTCCTTGAGCCCCTTTCATCAGAACAACAAGAAGAGCAACAGATGCTGAGAATAAGAAGGCAGTGAGAGGTGAGAGAATAGGACCATCCTTGTCCAACCACCTCAACATTTCCCCATCGCTGAGTCACCTCAAAGAAGACAAGGAAATATTGGACTGGTGAGATGGCCCTCTGCCACTAAAAACTAGACTCACAGCCAAAAAGAAAAAATCTTCCCTCCTACCCCTGAAGCTACTTACCCGCTGACTGTCACTGGGGATTACCCTAGCCTAGATTTCCTATGGATAGACTCATGGTACACATTGTTCTATACAGCCCAGAGAGCAGTCTACGATAGCCATGTATTCAGTTTTGAACAGGTGGCCTTAAGTTTTTGCAAGCAGAAGTAAAAACATAAATAGCAGCAGATAGAGATCATGATCAAGCTGGAAGGTCACAACCATTCAGCAGGAGCAGACTGGGCAAGCTCTGTAAGGGTCAGGCCAGACTGGCCAACCAGCAGATCTTCTATAACCACCCGAGCTGGGGAGGCTTGTGGTCATGTTTACAGCATCAGGCATGAATTCCCTCCAGCAGAACATCCACAGATCCGTTCAGATAGGGGTTGATAAACCCCATCACGTTCGTGCTATTAATGCACAGTGGAACATCTTGTCCGGAAGGTTGCAACCAACATGCGTTGTGTCCTCGCAGCAAGGTCTTACCATCTCTTTCTTCTGACGGTCAGCTGTGATGGTTTGAATGAAGATGTCCCTTAGAGGTTCATATATTTGAACACGTGGGCCCCAGTTGGGGATGTTTTAGGAAGTGTGGCCTTGCTGGAGGAAATAGTGACTTGAGGCATGCTTCCAGGGTTTAAAGACTCATGGCATTTCCAGTTTGCGTCCCATGCTTCATGCTTGGGTCTCGAGATATAAACTCTCAACTCGCTGTTCCCGCCACACTGCTTGCTGCCATGGATCTTCAGCTCAATGGTGACGGAACCACAAGCCCAAACAAACCCTTCCTTCTATAAACTGTTTTGGTCGTGGTGTTTATCATAGCAATAGAAAAGTAACAGACACAGCAACTGAGAGCAATGGCTATAACCTGTATTGTTTTGGGAGCTTCTGGAGGCTCCCTGACCCCATAACTCATAGGGAGGTATCCCACCTCTGACACTGAGATTTTCACTTAATAATCTGTGTTGCCTGGGGTGGGGGCAGGAACACTATGTGCCAAAGCGTAATACTCCAACTCCTTTTTAAAAAGTGTAAGCCTGTGTACATGTGCATATGGATGCCTGCTGATCCTCTGGAACTGGAACTGCCCAGCACGCATGCTGGGAACCAAACTGGGAACCAAACCCCGCAAGAGCAGCAAGTGCTCTTAACTGCTGAGCCATCTGTGCAGCCCCAAAATTCTTTTTTTTTTTAAAAATTGCATGCATATTTAAAGACTTTAAAAATTACATTTATTTATTTTGGGAGGTACGTTCATGTGGAGGGTCAGTAGACCACTTTGCGGAATCAGTTCTCTCTTCCCATCTTTGTGTGGGTCTGGGGATCTGACTCAGGTCAGTGGATTTTCCTGGTGATTGCTTTATCCCGTTGAATCACCTCACCGTACCTATTGATTTTATTTCATGAATGTGTACATGTATGCACATGCACATGTGTTTGCGTGCCTGTGGAGACCAGAAGTCACTCTCCACAATTTATTTATTAATTTATCTACTTATTTTTGAGGCAGGATTTCCTGCTAAACCACTGGATTCCTGGGATTCTTCTGTCTCATCATGCCAGAACTGGGATCGCGGATGTGTGTCACCATGCCTGTTTAAAAAAAAAAAAAAAAGTTGTTGTTATTGTTACTTATATGTATGTCTCTGTGTTTGTATGAGTGTAAGTCATGTGTATGAATGTGCCAGAAGAGGCCAGAAGTACACCTTGGATCCCTCAGAGGCAGAGTTACAGGCAACAGTGAAGCCATTTGATGAGATTGCTGGGAACTGAAGTAGGGTCCTTTGGAAGAGCAACAAGTGCTCTTAATGGCTGAGCCACCTCTCCAACCCACACCTGGCATTTTATGTGGGTGCTAGAGATCGAAACTCAGGTTCTCATGTCTGTAGCCAATTGAGCCATCTGCCCAGCCCTACGGATGGTGTTTAGTCTCAGTTGGAGATTAATCTCTCCATGCATTCACACTCGGCAGTGTCTGGAGATGACTCTTTTGAACCAGTGTTGTGTTCGCGTAGAGACAGCTCAAATGGTGCAGTTTTCTAGTTCTGCCCACACTGAGGAAATACCAAGATGTCACTGTGCTACGCCAGGAGTTTCTTCTAGACCTTTGTGGTTAAGCTCAAATGTCTCTTGGGTACTCTGAGGATAGCCATCAGCTTCCTTGTGAAAGAACATTAGAATGGTTTATTTTCATGAGAGGAGACTTGCCTCATGGCTAGCGGTTTTGAAATTCTGCTAAAACGTGCCCCAAATATGTAGATCAAAGTAGAATTCTGATCAAAACAGTTTTATTTGTCAAAATTCACCACTGAAACTTTTTTGAAACAGTGCACATTATTTCCTTAGCATTTGCTTTCATTTTCTTTTATACAAATGCATTTAAATTGGATTTCTAAAATTTCTTAGACATGGGCAATAGATTTAGATCACTTGGTGGAGGTCATGCCTGGCATGCACAAGGCTTGGGTTTGATCCCTAGTCCTGCATACTCCAGGCACTATAAAAATAGTGAGTGATACTTGGAATATCAGGACTCAGAAGGTAGAGGTAGGTCAAAGTCATTCATAGCTACTTAGTGAGTTTGCGACTAGCTTTGGCTATAAGAGTTCCAATCTCAAAATATGAATGAATAAATAATAAATAGATCTTAAAAATATAGAATTTTGTTATGGTTTTTACGGGACACTGACTTACAAATCAGTAATATTTGTTGTTATTGTTTGTGTCTCTTTCTCCACTATATTCTTACTTGAATATGTTGAATGTTGCCCCATCATTTCTTGGTGTCTTCACAGAGCAGATCTTCATCAAACGTGTATTGGTTGTCAGGCCCTGCCAGTAACTTGAATACCCGCATCTCTGGTCAGGAACGGGAACCCTCACACCGGGACAACTAAAAAGGGATTTAACAGACTGTAGATCTCCAGAGACAGAATAAGCACACCTAGAATGAGACTTAGGGTGTGACATACAGAATCCATGGCCAATCTTTCACCACCCAGGGGTCCTGGAGCTTCCAGTCAGTGAATTTCCCTGTGTGTCTTCTTCCTTGAGCTTCTTTGAGCAGCTTTTTTTTTTTTTCATTGTAGCATTTTTATCCTCTGGGATCATACCCGTACAGGTGTGTGGTTTGGGGGACCATGGGAAGAAGTGAGTTTGGGAGATAGTAAAGGCTGGACCATGTGTGACCTCACAAAAAGGCCATTGGAGATTTACTCACAGAAACTCGGGTATTATTTATTTATTTATTTTTAGTATCTCTCGGAGGCATGAGATGGATCATGGGGAATTTGTACTGAACAGGTTATCTTGTCTAAGTGCTGAGCTGCAGTGCGGTGGGTAGAGTGTTTACTTGGCATGCATGAGGCCATGGGTTTGACCCTCACCACATGAACTGAGGACATGTCTGTAATCCTAGCCTTTAGAGGCGGAGGCAGCAGGAACAAAAGTCCAAAGTCAACCTCAACTACATATGGAGTTGGAAGCCAGCCTGGGATGTGTGAGACTCTACCTGAAAAAAAGAAAAGAAAGGAAAAAGTTATTACAGCCCTCGACTGCATCAGCACCGTGGGGAAGTATATGAATTAAAATACTTTGAAGAGAGGACTAACGGACTGGGTGAGGGGTAAACGGAGGAAGAACCAGCCCGGCTCAAGGCTTCACAGTGAACTGCTGAGTTCTCGGTGGATAGTGGGGTCTGTGTCCTCATCTAGATCGTCGTCCTTAGCAGAATCACCGGTGCTCCACACGGAAAAGTTCTTCTTCTCAATCAGGAGAAGTAATGTCAGGTTGAGAAAAGGTAAGTGTTCTCAGTACTGAATTCTCTTTGTTACTTTTGTTTTGTTTTGTTTTGTTTTGTTTTTCGAGACAGGGTTTCTCTGTAGCTTTGGAGCCTGTCCTGGAACTAGCTCTTGTAGACCAGGCTGGCCTCGAACTCACAGAGATCCGCCTTCCTCTGCCTCCCAAGTGCTGGGATTAAAGGCGAGCGCCACCACCGCCAGGCTTCTCTTTGTTTCTTAAAAAACAATTATTACATTTATTTATGTGTGTGTGTGTGTTTGTGTGTGTGTGTGTGTGCTCGCGTGCGCATGTGCATGCGTGCATGTGTGTAAGATCGGGGACAGCTTGAGGAAGTTGGTTCTCTCCTCCCACCATGTTGACCCCAAGGACCACACTTAATCATCCCCAGGCTTGGCAGAGAAGACCTTTCAATACTGAGCCATCTGGTTACCCAATCAATATTGAGGATTTTGTTTGTTTGTTTTTGAGACAGGGTTTCTCTGTGTAATCCTGGCTGTCCTGGAACTCACTTTGTAAGACCAGGCTGGCATAGAATTTAGAGATCTGCCTGCCTCTGTCCCCAGGAGTGCTGGGATTAAAGGCGTGAGCCACCATCATCCAGCTAGCATTTTTCTTAACTTTATTTGCTTAATAGTTAAAAAAAAACAGTTTTTAAAAAGGGTTTCTTGGGCTGGAGAGATGGTTTGGAGGTTAAGAGCACCGGCTGTTCTTCCAGAGGACCCGGGTTTAATTCCCAGCACCTACTTGGCAGCCCACAACTCTCTGTAACTCCAGTCCCAGGGGATTGGACACTGTCACATCAGTGAACATAAAATAAAGTTAGATAAATTATTTGAAAAAAAAAAAAGAGTTACTTGAATATAAAGTACAACTTTGGCAAATGCTAGCCTATTCTATCTCTCACTCTTAGAAAGAAAGTATTTTTGCTTTTTAAAAATTTCCTTTTCTCCCATCTATAGTGATAGCTTCATGCCCTTGCTGACAGTGCAGTGACCAGGACTACCACTGTGTCCTGACATTTTATGGCTCTGACTCTCTCCCTTTAAGAGAAGCTATGGGAGGCCCTGCACCATACACCAGACCTCCCCTCTTCTAGTAGGACACACCCAGCACCCAGGCCTCTCTCTTCTCCAGGATGTGTGCAAGATGAGACCCAACATCAGCCTACCAACGGGGGAGATTTGATCTGGAGCATTCAAATAGGAAATGGCTGCTCAAAGGAAGCTTCAAATTTCTTTCGACTTGAAGAAGCTGAATTGCGAAAGCTATCTCTGTCCTGCTAATCACCAGGTCCAGTGTGAAGCCAGCCAACTTTAGAGTTAGTTAAAAGAGGAGGCTAATGACTCGGCTCTTTCCGGCTCTTTCCGGAGCTCAGTCGTGCAAGCCTGAGCTCTGAACTCCTCAGACGTCGAGCTGCACCCAGTCACTCGGTAGTTTCTCCAGTGTCCCCTGACCTGTGGGATCCGTGTGTAAGGGGTGTGGCCTGGGGCTCTGTCCTGCAGGCTGACTGAAACCTTCACCATCCAGCCCAAGGCTGAGGGGGAGCTGGGAGCAGACCAATCCAACGTCATTCTTGACGGTAGCAGTGGAGGGGCGACCTGGACTTCCTGGGAGATCTTGATCGGTTCAGCTTAAAATGACACTGATTATACAGAACTCTTTTTTGAAGCTTGTTTTCTGCGTCAGCCCTGCTCTCCCTTCACTGAGTAGGGCAAGTACTTATCTTAGAGCTAAACTTTTACCGCGCTTCCTATTGATTCAATGTTGCTGATCAAACGCCTAATTTTTTTTTTTTTTTTTTTTTTTTTTTTTGGATTCTGCTTTGTACTTATTTTATCTTGTCTTTCAGAGCCTCAGCTTTTACCAAACAATCATTAGTTACCCTGGGTCAGCAGATGTGCTGCCTGACCCTAGATTATAACCAAGTGGCTTTCTCTCCGCGTTTCCTCAGAGCTTGTTCTGACGCCTCTCGCCCCCAGTATTGTCCACGCTCCTTCCCGCGCACGCGCAGGCTCTCTGCTGCTTCCCTCCATCAGAGCGGCGCAATTCCGCCAGGCCCCTTGCTCCTATTCAGTCAGGTACTTTGGAGGTAATGAAGTCTTTTGGGAAAAATAAACAAAGGAAACGCACCGGGTTGATATCAATGGACTTGTTTAACTGTTTAAGGCCGCATCTCCAAGTGTGTTGCGGTGTATTTTGTAGAGGCGCGTTTATAATCCATTGAGCTTTCCGAACAGCCCTCTTGCCTATTAAGCCTGCATTGAGAAGTGGGTTTAATTTGCCAGAGTAGGTTTTTTTTTTTTTTTTTTTTGGTGATAATTACAGGACTTGCAGATTAGCTTGAGTGAGTTGGCAAGGTTCTGTAGCTAATAAAAAAAAAACTCACAGAAAAAAAAATTGTTACATTCAATTGCTTCGTGGATCTTCATGAGAGAAACATTAAACAAACCTGATAGGCCAGTTTCCAGTCCACGCAGCACAGGATTACGGTACTTAGGGAAAGAAACCTTTCAAGTGACACATGGCCCGACATCCCAAGAGTTAAAGGCATAGTTCTCTTCCTCGGAGACTTGAAAATTAAATCACAAGAACAGGTAAGTGTTATTAACTAGACAGTATACGGTGCAATGTTTTTTTAGTTGACTATCTTGCCAGCCAGATTATGCAGCTGTTTGTTTGGCGAGAGACATACATAGAACACTGGCTGCCCACTGAAATTTGGTGCACATTTTCATAACTTTAGTGAACTTCTGTTTGTTTGTTTTGAGACGGGATTTCACGTAGGTCAGGCTGAGACAAGTCTTGAACTCCTGACCCTGATCCAAGTGCTGGAATCACAGTACCAGAGCCAACTAGAACGCTTGCTAAGTACCAACTGTGTGCATCAGTTATCAGTCTAGGACCACGAGGAGATGGAGTCCCACAGATAATCCTCCCTCAACACTTTTGCTCAAGGATCCCCAAAATTAGAATCCTTGTCACTTCAGACTGATTAAAACACCTTTCTAGTTGCAAGTGGTTGGACCCTGAGGGCTGTGAGGACAGCTGTCCTCAGCTGCAACATCTAGACTCTACTGGCACCAATGCACCCCACTCCACCCCCCGGGGAGTCCCCTAGAGGTCAGTAAGCTATACACTGCCATTACATCACCTAATCAAAGCACTAACACGGCTTCCTTCTGCTTTAGCAAAGCCAGCTGTTCCCAGCACCCACCAGGGCGTAACCCCAGCTAGGGGCGTCAGGTTCCTCTTCTGGCTTCCACGGGCACCCTCATGTGACATACACATACATAGATACATACCTGTAAATAAAAATAAATCTTAAGAAAAGGACTAAAATTTATTATTAAAGAGGAAATTATTTTCACCAAATATATAAAAAGAATACTTTCAGATTAATAGGCCAGGGTTTCCATATCGCTTGAGCGTCACCCTAGTTCCACCTATTACTGACACGCTAACGTGAGATGTGACAATTAATGGTCCAATATTAGTTTATTATTAATACCTAAAGTCGATATTTACTTAAATATTTTCATTTTTTTCCCCTGTTTGACAAATGTTCTTTCTCAGGTCCAGGACACTACATTGACTTGAGAGTCACAGTGTCCTTAGCTCTTTGTGGCTATGACAGTCCCTCAGACTCTGTCTGCCTTGGATGATGTTGGCAATTTTTCTTTCTGTCTCTCTTTTACATTCGCTTATTTACTTGGAGGGTGGGCCGGCCAGAGTGCACACAAGGCAGCCAGAGGATACCTTCCTTTTCAGGAGCCAGTTCTCTCCCACTATGTAGGTCCCAGGGACTGAACTCAGGTTGCAGGGCAGCAGCGGGCACCTCTACCTTCTGAGCATCTTATAAGCCAGATGTTGGCGCTTTGAGGAGCACTGGTCAGATGTATTAGCAGGTACTCCACTGTCTGAGCTTGTCTCACAACCGCCATGATTAGATGAGGATTTGAGATATGGGGATAAGGGTGGCAGAGGTAATGTTTGCCAGTATTTATTTGTTTGTATGCTTGTTTCTTTGTTTAGGGTGAAGTTTCGCTGTTGCACTGACAAGACTTCATTCATGAACTCAGGTGACTCCCCTGCCCCAGCCTCCTGAGCATCTGGAACTACAGGTATGCGCCCCCCACAGTAGCTGTCCACAGCGCCGTGTACATTAAGTTAGACCCTGTTACCCTGACCACTGCTGCTGGTTTTTGCCTGGCAATGATTTTCTTAACCCCTTCTATACTGTATTCTTTCTTTTGTTGTTTCACTTGATTTTCTTTAGGGCTGGGAATCAAACCTAGGTCCTCTCATTAGCACTGAGCTAATGTAATTAACCCCAGCTTCCTGGAAAAGCTAATGACTAACACTAGCTGAGTACGCACATGGGCTATTGAAGACTACCACTGTGTAACAAATCTGGGTTACAGAGTGGGCTCCAAATGGAAAGAAGAAAGTGAGGGAGGGAGAAAAGGAGGGAGGGAGAGAGGGAGGGAGGGAGGAAATCAGGAGGAAAGATTTGAAAAGAAAGTCTTGGTCAAGGCAGGATGGGGTTAAACTCAAGCAGGTTCACCGCAGAGCCCCAGGTGAGAGCTTTTAGTTGGAGATTCTTATGGTACAGAAGGGAAACTGAGACCCAGAGAGGTATAGCGGTTTTCTACGTTGCAAAGCCAGTCCCAGCAGCCCAAGCCTCCAGGCTATTGGTTCAGCTTCTAATGCACAGTAGGGGTGTCTTTTTCCACAGTCCCTTCTGTGACAGGAAGTCCTAGCAAGGGAGGTGTGAGGGTCTGTGCTCCTTCTCACGGTGGGTGGAGTGTTGCTATAAATGATGTGTATTCTTTTGTGGAAGAATATGACAGGATTGTCTGTTTATTAATCTATACCATCCGTTGTTTATGTCTGCACAGCCATGGATATTCACCTGTTGAGTCATAAGCCAATATAACTGTAGTATTTTATTGCTTAAGTGACTTCAGCATGGGCTATGGGCCTTCTTGGGTCAGCCTCGTCTCCCCACGATACCCTCTTTCCACATCCCCTGCCCATTAAAATCAGTTTTCTTGGTTTTGTTTGCTTTTGTTTTTACATTTCAAGATCCTTTTTAATTTTTTTTTTTTAAAAAGCAATACAGTCTCACGTGTCCTCAGCTGGCCTCAAACTGTCTGGGTAGTTGGGAATAATCTTGACCTTTTGATCCTCCTGGCTCTACCTCCTAAATGCTGGGATTTTAGTCAGAGACTAACATAACTGGTTTTATTCAGTGTGGGAACTGAACTCAGGGTTCATGCCAGGTCAACTAGGCCACATTCCAAACATGACCCCTTAAAAAAAATCTACTAGTTAGATGCGCAGTGGTAACGCACACCTTTAATCCCCGCACTTGGGAGGCAGAGGCAGGCGGATCTCTGTGAGCTCGAGGCCAACCTGGGCTACAGAGTGAGTTTCAGGACAGCCAAGGCTACACAAAGAAACGCTGTCTCAAAAAAAAAATAGAGTAAATAAAAAGAAATAAAAATTTCTAGATTATCTATTTCTAATATTGAGATCGAGTCATAGAAGAGCTTTGTTTATTTTATGTTTTAGGTACCAGAGTCTAGTTTGTTAAATCTTGTGATGAAGGTGTCAATCATTTAGATTCATTCAAAGATAATAACTATTTCTTCTGTCTACTTCTTACCCCTGCCCCTTTTCTGGATGTAGAAAGATGAGGTAATGCCATTCCTCATCTCAGGGTACATTATCATCAGTCTATATATTCCTTCTTATTCCAATATTCCATTTGGATGCCTTCTTCCCGCCTCCAGAACCATTGCAAATACCGTCATACTACCATGTGGCTTATATGTATTCTTAACGTGTGTGTGTGTGTACATGTTTGAATGTGTGTGCATACACCTATTCAATGGCTGACACTGGGGTTCTTCCTCCGTCTCTCTCCACTTTATTAATCATTTTTTTCCTACATTAGTTTTTGAGACAGTGTTTCTCACTGAGCCCGGAGCTCACTAATTCGGTTAGACTGACTGGCCAGTGAGTTCTAGGGATCCTCTCGTCTCTGCTTTCCCAAGGCTGGGCTCACCCATCTTTATTCATGCATGTCGGGCGTCGAACTCAGGTCCTCACACGTTTGAGGCAAGCATTGTACTGACTGAGCCATCTCCCCAGCCCTTGTGTGTATTCTTGAGCAATAGGTATTGGTTTGGGCTCCGATTTTCTTAACTGAAGTGATGGGCGCATTATACCTTTCAATCTTGTTTTTCTTAACTGCGTATTTAGCATCTGTACGTGTGACCGAGTGTGCCCTGGTCCCCCGTCTTCCACCTGTGGGCCGGTGCTCTGTGTATCACCTACCACTCTCAAATGGTGTCCATCTGTCCGCGACCACACATAACCCCGCAGTAAACACCCTGTGTGTATCTCTGAGTGGCTCTGGGTTAGAGCTTCTCTGAGATGTATATCCAGGAACAGAACTGCTGGATCCCAGAATATGCTCATACTTAATTTAACTAAATAGAGACAGATTGCTTTCCCAGAATACACCAGTCTGCCTTCCACGGGCACACATCGCCACCAACACTTGGCATTAACCAGCTAATTCTTTCCAGGCTACTTGGTATAAAGTGATAGTTTGTTGTTTTTATTTTAATTTCTTTAGGGTTACCCTTCAAGCTCTTGATTTGCCTCCATATAAGTTGCCTATTTTAGTCTATGTACAGATTTTTCTTTAAAGTTTCTGTCATTTTGTCAATTTGCGAGATTTTTTTTGTATATTCCAGATAGTCATCTCTTTAGAAATGGGTGTGAGGGAGATATAGTCTTTATTCTCCGTTGCTTTTTCTTTTAATTCTCACTCTTAGATAACCGAATGCTTCAGTATTTATGTTTTGGAATCTTGTTTTAAAAATAGCTACTTTTACTAAACAGATTCTTTTCTATACCATATAATGTGAATACTCTCTCTACTCCTCCCAGATCCTCCCCACTTCCTCTCCCGTCCAGATCCATTCCCTTTCTATTTCTCATTAGCAAGAAACAGGCTTCTAGGAGAAAGTAACAAAACACATGACAATAAAATATAATAAGATAAAATGAAAACCATCATATCAAAGTTGGATTAGCCAAGCTAAAAACAAAATAAAAGAACCCCAAGATGCTGGATGGTGGTGACACAGGCCTTTAATCCCAGCACTTGGGAGGTAGGTAGGCAGTCTCTGGAGTTCAAGGCCATCTATCCTTTCTTCTTTGGGCAGGCTGGCCTTGAATTTTTTTTTTTTTGTTTGTTTGTTTGTTTTTCGAGACACGGTTTCTCTGTAGTTTTAGGGCCTGTCCTGGAACTCACTCTGGTAGACCAGGCTGGCCTCGAACTCATAGAGATTCGCCTACCTCTGCCTCCCTAGTGCTGGGATTAAAGGCACGTGCCACCACCGCCTGGCTTGGCCTTGAATTTTTTATGTAGTTGAGGATGACCTTTGAACCTGTGACGTCCAGCACCACCTGAGTGTTGGCGTCACAAGCGCGTACGGCCACACCTGTTTTATAAGGCATTGGGATGGGAACCGGGGCTTCCAGAGTGGTAGATCAGCACTCTACAAACTGAGCATCCTCTCCAGCCCCATATTTGAAATCTTTTAACATTTAAACATTAAAATCATATTATTTATTTATGCCACACAGTTTCCTATATTTTCTATTGTTAATTTTATGAGTAATTTTTTTATTAATTTTATAATTGCACCTTTTACATTCTGGTGTGTAGGTTTAGGTAGAGACCTAGAAGGATTTTCCCTCAGATTTCCCCAAAACTGTTTGCTATGTTTTCTTCTCGTTTTCGATTTGTGTAGCCACAAACTTAACAGCACTGACCGCCTTAAACTGGTGTGCTATGGTTTAGCTGCAAGTTGCAACAAAAGGTTATTTCTTAGAATTCTGGGGCTGAAAATCCAGAGCAGGTGCTGCAGACGGTGGCTGGTCCTCACACAGGATCGTTTTCTCACCACGAGAACGTGTGGCCAAGGAGGGAGGGCTTTCTTTCTGCTCCCTTTCACAACAGCTGTGCTCCAATTCATGAAGGTTCTTCTCCTAACTGCCTAACCACCCCAAAAGTCCTTGTACCCTAATAGCATCACCTTGGGGGTTCAGCATGAACACAGGAGCTCTGACTGCTTTAAGCTGTTTCATGTTTTTTTTGACTTGTTTTTGTATCAACCAATCTTGCCTTTACTACTAAGTCTTTTTTTCTAATTTGAAGGTTTATTTTTATTTTCTCTGTGTGTATGTATGTATATATGTGTATCTGTGTGTGGCTCTATGCATGGCTGAGTGCAGGTGCCCGTAGAACAAGAAGATGTTGGGTGACCTAAAATTGTAGTTATAGGTGGTTACAAATTCCTGATGAGAGCGTTAGGAACACCACTCAAGTCCTCTGCAAGAGCAGCAAGCACCTTAACCACGAAGCCATCTGTTGGGCCCCTATTGACTCTTCATACACCTACTAATACCCCTTTGCTCTTATTTTTAAAAAATCAAGCTAGATGGTCATGTATCTTCTTCATATAAATTCTAGATATACTTAATGAAACCCAGCTGCATAAAAACTTAGATTTATACTGAGTGCATAGATACAATTAGAAAGAACTGACAGATGTATAATCCTGGCTCCTTTTCTTTTTCTTTTTCTTTTTTTTAACATACTGACTTAATGACAGAATAAACCCGAGGTTCTTCTCTCAGAATCTGGCCCATCCATGCTATTTACCTGACTATTAATGAACTAGAGTGCAATTGAATTGTAAAAATGGATGGAACCACTTTCCAAACACTAAGTGGGTGGCAAGGAAATCAGAAGTCGGAGTCATAAAAAGGCATTTATTAAACTCATAATTATTCATGTTGCTATGTTAGATCTTGCATGCTGAGGTGGGGCTCCGTCTCCGTGTGTGTATCTCTGCTTTGAGAAGCTTACACAGAAACAATGCTGAGCGGACGAGCCTGCGTAAGATTCCCCACTAATTAGGGAATGGAATGTGTTGTTAGCACACAGAGGTTCAAGGTAAGTGCCTCTTTGGGCTGAGAGGATGAACAGGACAAGGGGACCAGCCAGGGCTGGAGAGGTCGTCAAGGGTCTCCCATT